AAAAAAAAAAAAAGAACATTCCAACTAATAAATTGTGGAAATGACATAAGTGGAATTCAGATTATAGATGACAAATATGATAAAGGGAATTGAAGGGCAAACGGAAAACCAGCAAAAAGAAGCCCAAAATATGTCCCAAGAAATTAACAAAATGAAAGCCAGAGTCTCTAAGGATCTAGACAAAATTAAAATTTTTGTTTGCAGAGACAGGATCTCGCTATTGCCCAGGCTGGTCTCAAACTCCTGAGCTCAAGTGATCCTCCCACTTTGGTCTCCCAAAGTGCTTAGGATTATAGTCATGCCTTCTCTGTAGTTTTTCTGAAAGGCCATTTGGTTTAATCATTATTGTAAACAGAATAATTTAAAATGTCAAATGCTATCATACAGCTTTTAATAAAAAAAAGTAATCCACTGCTTGCCCCATATACCTCACTGCCAAGTTCACTTCTTAAAACAGTTTCATGTGTTGGCTGGGCACCTGTAGCTCAAGCAGCTAAGGCTCCAGCCACATCCACCAGAGCTGGCCAGTTCGAATCCAGCCTGGACCTGCCAAACAACAACGACAACTGTAACCAAAAAATAGCATTGTGGTGGGTGCCTGTACTCCCAGCTACTTGAGAGGCTGAGACAAGAGAATTGCTTAAGCCCAGGAGTTGGAGGTTGCTATGAACTGTGACGCCATGGCACTCTACTGAGGGTTAATAAGTGAAACTCTGTCTCAAAAAAAAAAAAGTAGAATGAAATACTGAATCAAAGAGATCTTACTTGGATACAGAAAGTGGCTGGTTAAATTCTTCTTCCACAGCAATGTTGCTCTCTTCAAAACTGGGAATATCAACTGCTTTTAAGGAAGATGCACTCCCTGGAGGACTTGTGACTTCATTATTAATATCAACAGAAAAATTCATGTCCTCACTAGAAATCTTGGTATCATCTTGCTTCAGCTGAGAGTCAGGCTCTTGATTATCACTTGGTGTATTCCAAAATAAACTAGCACCTGGAGGTCAAATGATTTAACAGATATTGAAACAAATATTGAAGTATAAAAATAAAACTCTGACAAACCTGTTAAGAATTGCTGTATTATTTTAACAAAATTATCCCAGAACTGTTTTCTACTTATATTTCCTGAGAAAAGCCACAAAGAGTTCAAAGGTAAAAGACAGAAAACTGGGATGGGGCAAAGGGAAAGGGACCTGGCTCAGTGCCCACAGCTCAGTGGTTAGGGCACTGGTCACATACACCAGGGCTGGCAGGTTTGAACCCAGCCAGGTCCTGCTAAACAACAATAACAAAAAAAACAGCTGGGCATCCTGGCGAGTACCTATAGTCCCAGCTACTGGGAGGCTGAGACAAAAGAATTACTTAAGCCCAAGGGTTTGAGGATGCTATGAACTGTGATGCCACAGCACTCTACTGAGGGTGGACACAGTGAGACTGTCTCCAAAAAAAAATAAAGAAATTGTTTCTGTTGGCTTGGCGCCTGTAGCACAGTGGTTACCTCACTGGTCACATACACCTAGGCTGGTGGGTTCGAACCCAGCCCAGGCCAGCTAAACAAGGACAACTGTGACAAAAAATAGCTGGGGATTGTGGCAGTTGCCTGTAGTCCCAGCTACTTGGGAGGCTGAGGCAAGAGAATTACCTAAGCACAAGAGTTTCAGGTTGCTGTGAACTGTAGTGCCATAGCACTCTATCGAGGGTGACATAGTAAAACTCTGTCTCAAAAATAAAAAAAGAAAAAATTGGTAAAAGCAAGATTTAATTTTGCATTCACTTATTTTTTAAAAAAAGGACAACTTGGCTCGGCGCCTATAGCTCAACCAGCTAAGGCGCCAGCCACGTACACCTAAGGTGGTGGGTTCGAATCCCCAGCCCGGACCTGCCAAACAACAATGACG